CTGGTCTCACCATACCTGGATAAGCTGAGCTCAGTTTGCAGCAGTGGAGTCTCCTGGAACAAAGGCATTGCTGAGCTTCAGGTGCAAAGGCCATCAGGAGAAAAGAATCACAAGGAAAGAGGGAACTCTGGTGTGCTCAGGGACCTACCACATCTGGACACTGACTGTACTTTCACCAAGACAGATGCATTCCTACTGTGGATATTCAGTATGGGCTTGTGCCCTTGCACTTTGAAGGGCATTCAGAAAGGTTGGTTTGGGGCTGAGTGGAGTCCAGCTCTCTGCAGCAGTATGGGAAATCTGTGCTTCTTTGTCCCTTGCATTTCTGCTTCTGTTAATACTGATACTGGCCAACACTTTACCAGGGATAATGAGATGGACTTCAAGTGATGCCATGGGATCATTTTCCTTGTGGATCAATGCTTGGGTTGGCTCAGCAACACAGCTACAGAGCACGTGTGTGAGCAAGAGATGGGAGAGGAATACAAGTGAAAAGGAAGGTGGCAACTCCTGCTGGAATATGTGACTAATTGCTGTGCTTTGAATCCAGGGGATTTGAGAAATGTCGGTGCAGAGGCTGATTAATTAGTGGTGATGTCACTCTGTTGGCAATTCCAGGGCAGGCCAGCTGAAACATCACCTTTGGGTGTAGATATAATCCTCAACACAGTAATCTGCATTAAAGAAGTGCATAAGATGTAGTTGCTTCAAGATAGCCATAGCAAAGCTGAAAATCCTGCCACTGACAGGGCAGGGAAAGGGAGTTTGCCCTTTTGTTTTGCAGTTTGATTGAGGAGTGTGTGCCTGTGCCTCTCCCTGGGACTCTCTGAGTGTGTGTCTGCCCTGGAGAAGTTGTAGCTTCATCCAGTTACCCTGCTGCTCAGCAAAAGCTTTCCTGCAGCAAGATACTCCCTGGCTTCCTTGGCATCTGAAGACTGCTTCACTAACCCCCCCCACCCAAAAACAAAATTAGGGAGGGGTGAAGTCTTGCAGTTGGGTTGTGTTGGGCTGTGTTTGAGGCTGCCATGCTGCACCTTATGGCCATGCCCTGCAGCAAGAGGCTTGAATCTGGATGAATCTTTGCAGGCTGCCAAAATGGCCCTTTAGTAAAAGTGGGTAAAAGTTTCCCATCTGGGGACAAAACTTCCAGCATTCCTTCCTAATACTGCTGAAGTAAAAAACTTGGGAGGGCTTGTCTTCCTTCAGTGGTCTGCCAAAGCCCTTTCTGCCTGAGGGCTGCTTTGGCTTTGTGGAAAAAGATAAAGATGAGCAAGGGATTTCTGGGTCTACTGGGGTGAGATAAGGGCCAAACCTCCTCCTTCCCCCACAGCCTCTCTACAGTGTCTTTTCATCTGCTGATGGGTTCTGCTTTCTTCCCACCTGATTTTTTTTTCCCTCCTCTTTATATAATTTTTTCAATTTTGTTGTTGGCAGCTCTTCTGTTTCAGATCCTCTTCAAACTTAATTAATGTGCTGCTTATTCCCTCTTCCAGATCAGTAATTATTACATTTAATAAGACTAGATCTAGTCCTGATCTGAGCATTACCTCCTGCTATCTCACCATGTTTCAGTTTGCCATGATGTTACAGCTCACAGGAATGCAGTAGCACATCAGTCCATGCAAAAAGGTCAGAGTAGCTTTCTTGTCAAATAAAGAACAAAAATATATATCAGAGCTAGGAAAACAGACCTCAGCTCGTGTTGTTAAACAGAAGGTGGAAAGAGAAGCTGCTGTAGAGGTATTTTTTCCTGGCACAGCTCCTGACATTTTGGGTGGCTCCAGATCTGCAATCCACAGAGCGAGGTCCGTTCTGCTGCTCCCGGGGCAAACACGTGAGCCTGCTCCCCCCTGTGAAAGAGGATTGTGGGTTCCTGCAATTTAGAAAAGCTCTTTCTTCCCTCTCTGCCTGGCTAATTATCATCTCTGCATCTGCAAATTGTCAGGTTTCCATCAAAATCTTGGTGGTTTGTATGTGGAGAAATTTCCCCTTGTGAAAGAAAAATAAACGTCCTATTGACAACCCTGGCTGGGGACCTTCGAGATGTGCTCCACCCCCAACGCCTCCCTCCAGACCAGGGAAGCTATCTGGGGGTTGCATATCTAATGCTTAATGCTTCCCACTGATCTATTGTAGGAGAAATGTAACAAAGTAGCCTGATTAACTGGGATTGAAGGAATTAAGCCCATGTTTGTGGAGATAGCGATCAATGAGGTCTCTTTTAACACACTTGTTACTCTGGGCTTCCTTTGATTGGCATATCAGCAGCTACACACCATAAATTACCTTGATGGATTCCCCTGTGCCTCTGAATTTAAAAGAGATGAGGCACAGGGTTATTTTAGTTAATATTCCAGTGTGCTGTGCAGATGCTCTGCAGTTTGTCTTGACTCATAACCTCTGTTCTTTCACTTCTAAAGTCCTGTCCATGGAAACAGTGCTGCAGCTGTCCTTGAACCTGCCTCTGGGCTTCCTGTAGCTCCCATGTTCCTTGACCCAAGAGTCCTTTCTGCCTGGACCGTTCCTTAAACAGTAAATGCCTTGAGGAGGGAGCAAGTGCTGTGAGACTGAGGCGGATTAATTACTGACACAGACTCTTGGCAGGACCTTGCAGGTTCTCCCAGGTGACCAGCTGGGGCTGCTGGCAGGGATCCTGGAGAGAATGAGCTAAAGAAGTGTTCCTGGATGCATGTGGGTCCACAGCAGAAATTTTGGTGCTCCCCATTGCAGCCCATCAGCTCAGTGAAGTGAGAGGCTGCCTTCCTCAGATTAGAAAGCACTTGAGGATGTCATTTACTCAGGCAGATTTCCCAGCTGACTGAGCATTCTTATTGCACTAATTACAAATCAAGAGGGTGGTGTGTGCACTGGCTCCCACACAGCAGGAGCTCTCCTCCCTAATGGTGGGGCTGGCTGGACTGGGAAAAGCAGAATGGATCTTGATCACAATTATCCTCTCCCCTCCTATCAGCTGGAGCAAAGTAAAGCTTACTCTGGTAAATCCTGCAAAGTTTGGTGCTCAGGTGCTGCAGCTGGTGCCCTCTGCATTCTGGGGCCCAAGTCCAGCCCTGCAGATGGAGTCTGTCAGCACTGGGGCTCACTCAGACCTGAGACCCTGACTCACACTGGCTGCTGCCTTGGAGTCACCAGAATAGTCCAGAACCTGGGACTTGAGAGGCACGTGAAGGAAAAAAAAACACCTGAGTTTTCGGTAGGTGTTTGACCAAGCCATTGCAGGACTGTCTTGCTCTGACTGTTTTCAGCTGGTGTGGGAGGGAGAAGACTTAGGAAAAGTTGCTGGTTTGAATTTCCCTGCACTGAAGGTTGGTAGGCTTTGGGGTATGGAGCTCAGTGGAAACATCATAAGCCAACCAGCTTTAGGGCTTCCCTCTGTGTGGGGCTGTTCTGGATCATGCAGCTTGGCCTGTCAGGAGTATTGCTGGTTTGGGGGCAGTTACAGCATCTCCTTTCTCATTTTGAGCGTCCTTTGATTCCCCGGGTCTGTGTTTTCCTGTTTGGCTGAGGCTGGCTGCATTTCCAGAGGCTCCATGTCCCATTGCCAGGCAACTGATAGCAGCAGAACATCTGCCTGTCCCTGTGCCCTGGGGCTCTCCCTCCCGTGCAGAACCGCTTTGCTCTGCCCTGTGCCTTCCTGTCATCAAGTGCACAACTCCTCTTGCTTTTTGTCTCTGACCTGTTTACACTGAAAAAAACCCAAACCCCTCCTGAAGCAGACAGGTCCTGGGAGAGCACTGACTATCAGTTGTACATTTGTAGTCACAGCTACAGCTGGATTCTCCAAAGCTCTGTGCCAGGAGGGAGTTCCAGCTGCCTGCCCTGGGACCTGTAGCCTCGTGCCTGCCTGAGCGTTGGCCCAGTTCTGGCATCCAGCTGGTGCTGTGGTTTCCAGTGCACGTGCCTGAATGTGTTCCAGAGAGTGGGAGTCACCATCAATCTTAATGAAGTTAGGCATAGATGGGACCTGGACTGATGGCTGAGCCAGTCCTGCAGCATCCATCCACTCCTGGCTCCAGCTGTGCAGAGGGGGTGTGCATGAGGAGTTGTGTGAGTGGCAGGGAGACAGCCCTTGGGCTTTGAACTGCTCCTATTTTTGGTGCCCTACCACATGCCAGGACAAGGCTAACACATAAACCATTTCTGGCCAGTTCCTCCTTTCATTAACTACTGAGCTTGGCTCAGCCTCAGCTTCCACCCGGGTGGCTCCAGCAGCCCGTTGCAGTGGCCTCTCTCGCAGCCACCACTCACCTTAATATCATGAAGAGCTCTTATTACCTGGGTCTCTGCTGTTTTATTTCAGCTAATTAGAGCTGGTAAGATCCACTCAGTGTCAGGCAGTGGCCTCAGCTCCCATGCTCCTTGTAAACTTTACCAAACGTGACAACACACGAATCCTTTCAGGGGCCACAGCACAGGCTGTGTGGTGACATTTAGAGCTCTGTTAAAGTAGCAGGTTCAACTGAGGTCTTTGGGAAGCTTCTCTGCTGCTAACAGGCTCTGTCTACAACCATACAGTGTGGCTGACTATCCTGTTTGATGGAGAGGATCCTAAAATTGCTGTTTTGATGGAAGTACAGTCAGTGTCCAGATGGGGGAGGTTTCTGAGTGCACCAGATTTCACTCTTCCTGTGGGATTTTTTTCTCCTAATGGCCTTTGCACCTGAAGCTCCCTGTGCCAGGAGGTTTGCTGCTGTTTGGTGTGCAGCTGAACACTGAGCTCAGCCTATCAAACTATGATGAGACCTGTTGACAAAGAGAGCTGGGGAACGTATTTAGAGGGGAGGGAAGACCTGGAATAACATATTGCATGTGATATGAACATAGGGCATTTTCCAAACACTTCAGCTAGTGCTGTCAACCCTGCAATTTTTGGTGTGAACCTCCCCATATTTGGGCCTGTTTCAAGTTCCAGGTTTTGGCTCCATGCCACCCTTCATTCCTTCTGAATAAAAATTGACTTCACAGCTCCGTGAGTGCAGAAACAAACTCAGAAGGACCCTGGATCAGGAAAACAAACAAGCAGGACTCTTCAGGCCAGCCTTCTTAAGCACTTGATTTAGGTGAGTGTTAGGTATCCAAATTTTTAAGAATATTTGGACTTGACAAGCATGCGCAGTGTTAGAAATAGAAATGCTGAGATATCCAAAACCTTATGACTCCACAGGGGGATTTTTGAACTGCTGCTGCTGTTGTAACTGCAGAAGAGAAAAGGAAGAGTATGTGAGCAGGTCTGTCTCTCCAGGTTTATTTTTGCTCTTGCCAAGGGACTGCAGGACAAATACAGTGTCTTTCAGGCCCATTAGCTTTTATGAATTTGTTCCACTGCCAGCACTATAGCTTCTGGAATTTGAGACAGCTATCCCTGCTAAAAGCTCTGGTACTTCTCCATGTAGTTGGACGTGGCTTCTGGAGATTTGGGTGGACATGTTTTGCCATAGAAACAGGGCTCCAGCTCTTTGCTTTGCCAGGATCTGCTGAGCCACAGACCTTGAGCTCTGCAGTGTCTTGCAAGAAGGGTTTTTTAGCTCTGTGAGTTGTTGTGTGGGGATGCATGTTGAGCATCCATGTGAAATGAAGATACGTAGCTGTGCCAGTGCTCCTTGCTGGATTTCCTTGGGCATGTCTAAGCTATGGATAAACCCCCAGATACGCTGGAGCCCTAATCTAAGGCAACAAGATTTATGTGGTCTTGTATAGAAACGCTGCAAGCATCCCTTGGGATCATGTATGGAGAGCAGCACCTCTCAGGGAATGTGGAAAGGTGATGGAAAATGATCATCTTTTCCACTAGTGCACATTTGACCTGTCTGCCTGCTTGTGGACTGTTTGTGACCTCAGATGAGTTATTTGATGGCTCTGCCTTAGCCCATCACCTTCCTCTTCCCACGAGCACAGCTCTGCAGCGCTCCAGCAGCTTCCTGAAGATACTTTACCTCTCACTTACTTTGCCAGGCTTCTGTTGACTAAAATTCTGGTGGCAGGAGCCACCTTTGCGTTTTCTTGCCAGGATTTAGCCCCAGCATTATCAGGTGCTTGAAATTTATGGGTGGAGTGACAAACTGCATAACATGTGGGATGCAAAGAAAAAGCTCTCAATTTTCTAAGGTTCAGAGGGGGAGAATTTCAGCAGCAAGAACACGGTGTTTGCTGTGTGCTTGGGAGGGTGAAAGGAGCATGTTCTGCATCCCCTTCCCAATGCCCCAAGGAAAAAATGTGTAGGAAAGTCAGTTCTTGTGGGGGCCAGCAGATTCTAGTCACCTGCTTTGAACTGTGTGAGGGTAAAGGTTGCTCTTGAGCTGTTTCTGGATAGCAGGGAGAGCACAACATTTTGGGGGGCTCTTTGTTCCCTCCAGGAAGGCTTCACAGACATGGGGGGGGGAGCTGCCTTGCCATGAGGGAAGGAATTACTGCCTTTCTGCCTCAGCCCAGTGCTACTCCTGTTTGCTGGGGCTTGGCCCAAGATCCTGCTCCCTCCCTGAGGGCAGCAGAGCACCAGCTCATTGCTGGTTTGCACAGGTGGCTCCAAATCACCAGCTTTTGGATACTGTCCCCTGGGAAGACTATTAGGCTTTGTTTGAGGGGTGCACATGTGATGCCCCACGGGGCAAACGGCAGCTCTGCTGTGCCTGCTGAGGGCACGGCACAGCCCTGGCAGGGAGGCTCCCAGCAGCATCCACGGTGAGCTGTGACCCCGGCTCTGGCCGAGGACGCAGGCAGGTGGCTGATTTACGGCCAAAAGGAGACGGGGGTCTCTCCGAGTGAAGCTGGAGGCGAGTTGCCATGGAGATGGGCTAATAAAGCACCAGCAGCAGCCGGCTCTGACGCTGCTATGGCTGCAGAGAGAGGCCGGGTGGGGAGAAGGGGCAGCTGGCCAGGTGGGGATGGAGAGTGAGAGGAAGGAGAACACCAGGAGAGCAGGACAGGAGTTTGGTCTGTAAGACTGTTGAGATGGCCCTGAGTGCTTTGAGAGTGGAAGAGATGATGGGAGAAAAGAGCCCCTTTCTCCCAGCTCTTTGGGAAGCAGAGGTGTCATCGTGGTGCTCCTTGGCAGTGAATGGGACCAGCAGTTTTTAGGGAAATGGTTGGGCCCCTATACAGGGAGAGGATCTTCTATTCTGATTTACTGACTGCATCAGCCACCTGTCTGTAGGCTGGCTGCTTTTCCTGGCAGCAGGAGAGGGCTCCAAAGACAATGTCGGTTTGTAGGGGCTGCCTCACACAGGACTGGTACAAAGGACTCTGCTGTGCTCAGCACTAGGTCCTGTTTTCTCCACACATCAGCTGCTCCATGCCAAGGCAGGTGCCTGCACAGGAGCAGTCAGGACCTTCCTAAGTGCAGTGTCCTCCCTGTGCTGATGATCCTTCATCCTTGGAGCAGGGCTGTGCTGCCCCGTGCCCCTGGAACACTGTGTTACCAGGACATGCCCTCTCAGCACACTGCCCTCCTGCCTTTCAGCACAGGGGAAGGTCAGATGTTCCCTGGCTCAGTCCTTTATTGCAACATAACTGCAGCCAGCTCCCTTGGATGCTGAGTGTGGGTGTTGGGGGGGAAGGGTTGGACAGCATGGACTGGCCTCCAAAAAGGTGGGTGTGCTGGAGATGTGCTGCACATCCCTCAGCTCTGGCTCCAGCCTGCACCTTCAGAATGGACCCTCCTGCTTTGCTATGGCAGGGCTTAACCCTGCAGTTCCATTCAGTTCAAGGGCACTGTAGCACGGACCTAAACCCAAGCATACTTTAATTCTGGCTGGTTGAGCAGGATGATGGGAAGGAAAGGCTTAGCTAAATTATTAGCAAGATATTCCCAGGCTGCTGTACTTCCATTTTGAGTAATATGGTGACAGCCATATTTTAACCCTGACCACCATAAGAAGGGTTTGCCTCAAAGCCATGAGCCCCTGGAGTGTGCCAGAGTTCAGGGAGGTGTTCCAGCAGGGAAGGAGAGGGTATATAGTTTAAGAAAGAAATAAAAAGCCTTATGATGGAGTGATGCATTAAAAGATAATTGCTTACAGGTTTCACAAGGTGTTTTTATGTCTCCTAAATTGATGGATGTATCCACAGAGAGTGATGCTCTTAATGGAGGGTTACCTTTGCTTCTGAGCAGAGCAGAGATCGAGGCAATTACAGCTGGTAATGCCAGATATTGATAATACTACCCCTATCCCCCAAAGACAAGGTTTTCTGAAGCTGGACTTCTTAAGCTAGCTAATGCCTGCTTCCCTGGCCAAAGCCTCTTCTCCTGCTCCCAACAGCATCCTCTGTTGTTCAAACCCATCCTGTGCTGCTGCTGGATAGCCCTTGTATCTTAATTCTGTCATCATGCACTCTCCAGGTGGCAGGAATACTCACTTCCTTTATGGGTCAGTTGGTTTTTGGCACTGGCTGGGATGAAGGATGATTTCCACTGCCTCCATCATTAACAGGGCCTCCCTTCATGTCCCTGCAGGGCTAGATGGTGGGATAAGCCAACCAGCCCTTCCCGTGGCAGGAAAACCCTAAAGGGGCATGAAGAGCTTTGGGATGTGTCTGGTGCGGTCTCTCTGAGCCAGGAGGATTTTGAGTTCTGGAGACCCTAATTTAGGGTGGATTTTAGGTGCTGTACCTCTTGCTCTGCTCTTAGCACCTCACTGTTCAGGTGACTAAAACTTGTGCTTTCTTTTCTGTCTGCACCCAACTACGGCCTCTTCCCCCACCTTTGGAAGAGCTTGGTGTGTGCTGTGGCTACAAGGGGAGGAAATTATTTTGATTTTTAGATTCTTGGAAAAGCTTTTATGATAAATGGCCTTATGCCCAAGACTATTTCAGGCTGCTGGCAGTGTCAGAGGAGGTCTCTGAGCAGAGGAGGCAGTCTTCAGTGAAGACCTCTCAGGGCAGAGTGAGATGTTGCTCCTGGGGAAGTCTGCATGGCTGTTGCTCATGGATGAACAGGCCTCAAGAGAAGCATGGTTTCCATTGTCTGTGACTATTGTTAGCACTACTTAAATCTGTAAATCTTGGAATGTTCTTCAATATGAGCCATTTAAAATCCTGAGTCATTTCTGTCTCCGGATATGCCTGTCTCGCTGATTCTGTTCTCATATCCAAGGCAGTCCATGCCAGCAGCTGAATCAGTTTGGAAAGGAGGAAGAAAAAGTATTAGGAACATTTCTGCTCTCACCCTCAAGCCTCAGTGTTCTTAAGTCTGGTCCCATCTCTGGGCATGGTCATCTCAGTGATATTCTCCAATTGGAGTGTCACCTTCCAGTGGGAAGAAGGTGGACCAGATCCTTGGGGCTTTTAGCCAAGTGAATGGATGTGCCTTGGGACTCCCTCTGAGCTCTTCTCTATTCCCTTGCCAACATGCTTTTGTTCACAAGCATATAAATCAGGAACAGAAGATGTGCCTTGGAGGAAACTTAAATATAAGCAGAAATTGTGTGAATCAGTATGGCCAAATTGTGTTGCTTTCATGGCTCTTCCTTAGCTGGTCATGCTCTCAGCAGGAGGTTGGACTGGCTGATGTCCTGAAATCTCTTCCAGTATGAATTTTCCTATGATTTGTTCTAGTTTTGGAGACCAGCAAAAAATGCTCCTCTGCTGGCATGCACACACAGCTGTCCTCTTGAGTGATGCTTTATAGTATGGCAGGAGGAATTCAATGCAGAAGCAGATTTTTAAAAAATGGGAATAGCCCCACACCATGTGTTGTTGTCATTCACATATGAGCAGTCTAAGGACAATTAAAATGTTGGCTGTCCCCACAAGATCTCAAAAGTAAGGTCCTTGCTGTTCAGTCAAAATATCTTGCAGAGATCAGAAAATAATAACTTGAAGGTCTTGCTGCTGCTGCAGCAAAATTGTCCTGTGAGTATTCAATCTGCATCAGCTGGGGTTGGATGTAATGCTGAGGGCTGGAGAAACTTATCTTGATTACATACAGTTTGTGGAAGCCACAGAGCTCCTGTAAAGGAGCCAAGTGTTGCAGTAACACCAAGGACTCTTCCTCCTCTGGTCTAAAAGATGGCAGATTTGATTGTGGGGACCCTGTGTTGGACTATGCTCAGTTTTTGTTCAAGAT